ATCCCCTACGAAGTGATAGGACACTGGCTGGTCATCATTAGGGAGTGGTTCTGGTTGAGGCACCCCAGCTCTGTTCTCTTCTACAGCATCATGCAGGGAACAGTTACTCCATGTCCCTCCATCCGACGCACCACCCTCTGCCCCAACATCCACATAGAGAGGAACGTGTAGGTAGCATCTGCCACTGCAATCAGGACAATGCCGTGGAAGCCCTTGTAGTTGTAGTAGTAAGAGCCAGCACTGGGGGGCTTCTTCATGGCGACGTGCTTGCCGTCCACAGCCCCCAGACAGTTGTGGTAGTTCCATCTGGAGCTGAACCTGGCAGTAACTTCCTTCCACTCCTCTTCAGTTTTGGGGCAGCGCAGCCCCTCGTCCTTGTAGACTGCGATGATGGCTTTACACATCTCGGGTATGAACTTGCAGATGGTACTTGCTTCAACCCTGAAGCTGTATTTCAGAGTTGGATAGGAATTTCGTAAAGTGCGGGAAGTGCGTAAACAATGCGCAAACTATGCGTGAACTCGTCGTGCCAGTTCATGTCAATGTGGACACTGATGGGTACGCATTCGTGAACTTGTCGTGAACTCGTCGTGAACTATGCGTGAACTAGTCGTGAACAGTGCGGGAGCCTCCCAGTTCATGCCCCAAAATGGCACGACTTGCCACGACAAAATCGTGGCCAAAAGTCGTGCAAGTGTCAGCCTGGCTTAACCAGGTCCCCACTGTCACGATTCGAGCTACGATTGAATCGTGGTTTTAATCGTGGAGTAGTCGTAGTGATCTTATCAGGTCTTATCATATATTGTGGTCAGTCGTAGCAATCGTGTTGATCGTATCGAAACGTATCCGAACGTATCTGCACGTACCAGATCGTGGACTCAATAGGGACAATCCTATTGTAACGCATCGCACGACAGTGGAAACCTAGCACGACAAATCCCTAAAGATTTGGAAAAAAAATAAAAACAATATTTGTTGCTAGATTGCCAATGTTAGCCAATGATAAATGTCAATCTGGTGGTTAAAAATGAAAGACCACTATGCCCAATAATCACGCATAATGAAAAAATGTTGAAATAGTTTGTATACTATTCAAAAAAAGTAGGGGATATTTGATTTTTAAGTGTTATTAAAGTCACCTAATGAAACTGACGAAGAAACAAATGACAAAATGAAATGAAGTTCACATTCATCGATTTATTCCAAATGATCGTTAGACTAAGTAAGGCACAGACTGACCATTATAAGGGTAAAATGATACCCGGGGTCAAACAGCAAAGTTACCACAGCATCACAACCAAGTCAGTAACGGGTAAATCCTCCTCTGTTTGCCAAACAAGCATTGATCCGACGTGGCATACTCCTAATGAGACGTCTAAGGTCATTTTGGTCCAGATTGTCCCATTCCTGTTGCAACGCAGCAGCAAGTTCTTGGACATTGGCAGGACGTTGTTGACGTTGACGTAACCTCTGTCCAAGCATGTCCCAGACATGCTCGATGGGGGAGAGGTCGGGACTCAGTGCTGGCCAAGGTAATGTGGTGATGTTCTGTTGTTGGAGGTAACCTGTAACGATCCTGGCCCTGTGACATCTTGCGTTGTCATCCTGGAAGATGAAACGGCGGCCATGACGTCGTGCGAACGGCACAACATGGACTGCCAAGATGTTGTCCCGGTAGTACTGGCCTGTAACACCCCCTGCAACAACATGTAAAGCCGTTCTTCCAGCAACAGTGATGCCTCCCCACACCATAACAGAACCACCCCCAAATCGATCATGTCTGATGACGTTAACGTCTTGGAAGCGCTCGTTTCGACGACGCCACACCCTCCTACGTCTGTCCAAAAAATCAACAGTGAACCTTGACTCATCTGAAAACATCACATTGCTCCAGCGTCGATTATCCCAGTGTTGACGATCCCTACACCAACGACGTCTTGCCTGAATGTGATGATCTCTCAAACAAGGGATCACGCGAGGACGTCGGGCGCGAAGGTGACCCCTATGCAGTCGATTCCGAATCGTCTGGCCACTCACTCTCACACCAGTGTCTGCTTGAAGACGAGCGCTGATCTGATTTGCTGTGATGACACGATTTCTCAAGGCCAAGGTACGGATAAATCGATCCTGGGCTTGAGTTGTCGCCCTTGGTCGACCTGAGCGTGGTCTGTCCTGTACAGATTGTGTATCACGGTATCTGGACCATAGCCTGCTTATGACAGACTGAGAAACATTCATCGTCCGCGCCACAACCGCCTGTGTTGTGCCGATCTGTAGCATGCCAAGGGCACGTAACCTTTCATTTTGGGTAAGCTGACGCATATCAAAATTTGTTTTCTGGTCACTAAAACAATTAAACTGATGTTTCCACCCTCGATTTCAATGCCACAATGACTGTAACATTCAAAGTCAGAGTCGTGCAAATCTTGGGTTGGACCCCCATGATGATCCCAAGCATCACCTGCATTCCATGCGGTAGCTATTGGTGCGTTTGGGCGTCACATGTAACTGGAAATGTTTCTTCTGTTAGGTTCTATAGTGACTTTTTTCGTAGTCATTTGCATATTTTAGTATTATGCCCCCAAAATCAAATATCCCCTACTTTTTTTGAATAGTATATTTGTATGTGAATAAAAAAAAAAGTTGCACAAAGATCGACCAAAATTTGTGACCACGACGGTGTGCTGTCGTTTGACCTCTTGTCGGTCGGTTTGGGCTTCCCAGCGAAATTTTGGGTATTCGGGCAGTCGGGGAGTGACATAGGCGAGGGTGTGTGTGTGTTAAACTAACACTTCCGGTTTGGAGTTATAGTAATTTTGGTTCAGGAACATACCCGTGCAATGCCTGGCACATCTAGCACATTCCTCCCCTTCTCAATATTTGATATGTTTTGGTAGTTTTATGCATTTATTTACAATGTTATTCTAATTTACATGTATATTCATTGGTAAATATAAAAAAAAACGTATATCTGATCTGATATATTTATAGGACGGAATAATATTAAGTAATATATGAGTAAAGTCTTTTGAGAAAAAAAGAAATGTATCTCACCCTATGAGCGACACCCTTCTCTGTTAAACATACATTATGCAAGAGCTAAATCTGCCTATTGCAAGTCTTTATTTAGGCTTCAGATGCTATGGAAATTAGTAATTAAACCTTTATTTACACGATAATCTCAAAATCAACTCCGTAGACCCACGGATGGCTTGGAAACAGTTTGGATTTAAACAGTCGTCCATTTAAAATTAAATCAATAAATGGCGGACCAAGCTAACGTTTACCATTAGTCGATGATGTCACTACCGGAAACTGGTGATGAAAGGCCTGCCAAGCGAGGCTACCATAGCCATTGAGCATGTTACTCGATAATTGAGAATATGTGGGTGGAGTTATCGTCTGTCAATCAAACGATCGCCAATTCTCATAGACGGTGCAGACACAATTGATGCCTATATCTAGTCCAAACTTCCAACAGTGACATTTCCGTTCAGAACAAAGTAATTTGACTGAAATTTTCAACATTTACTTTTTTTTATCATCTATTTTTGAATTATTATAGCAAGAATGGCCAATTCTTTATAATATAAAACTCTTAAAGTTGCAATTTCATATTTTTAAGTTATATTTTTGAAAAAATATTAAATTAAAGCCTTAAAATAGATGGTATCTATAAACAGTCATACCTTGTTAAAGAATAATCCTATTAATCCTATAATTCACTATTGTCAGTTGAGAAATTGGCAAAAATATCATTTTCAACTTCAAATACAAACGTTTTAAGATAGCTATTCCATGATGGGAATAGAAAAACAAGGGAGGTAATTGTGTTATTATTTCCGGGGTCAAAGTGGAAGAATAATACCTATGATCGTATAATAGTGAGTTGACAACCTTTTGAGCAAAAGACATAGAAATAATTATGTTTTTTGACCTTAGAAAATATGAAATTATTGCTTTAACTAATGTATCTTAAATATTATTATAGCTTAAAGGGAAAATATGCTAAAAAAAAAAACTATCACACGAAACTCCATCTTAAAGACCGTTTAACTTTTTTGTGTAATATGCAATTTATAAGACAGATATAGAGGATAAGATCAAACTCAAAGGTACCGTGCCAGCAGTATTTAAATCATTAATTTCTAAATCAAGCTATATGACCGTCTTTAACTGTGTGACTTTATTAAACATACATTAGGCCTATGCAAGAGCTAAATCTGATTATTGCAAGTCTTTATTTAGGCTTCAGATGTCATAGAAATTATAAATTAGATCTTTATTTACACAACAAGCCCAAAATCAACTCTGTAGGCCCACGGATGGCTTGGATTCGGCTTGGATTTAAACAGGATTTCATTGACTGATTAAATTTTTAAATGGCGTCGTAACCGGAGATTAACCGTTATGTTGACGTCATACTCCCGGAAATTTTACATCGAGGCCAAATGATAGTGTACGAAGCGGGGCCGCATATCAGTCAATTTGATTGAAAGTTCGATATATACGGCCTTGATATTATGTTTAGTGGTGGTTAAAATGAGAGTTTGGATGTAGGTATTTATTATACGCGCTTTTGTCACTTGCGTTTACAGAAAAATTATGGAAATTGATAAACATCGCATCACCCTAGTTGAATTGCAGCCCCATTGGATCACTGTTTCCTATGTGTCTGCTTCGGGAGTTACACGTGTACAGGCCTACCAATTACAGTACAAGAGTACATGGGCGTCGCACATGGGGGGGGGGGGGGGTCTGAATATACTTGGACCCCCCCCCCCCAAAAAAAAAAAAAAAAAAAATTTACATAGTAGGCCCTAACTCTTATTTATTTACAACAATTATTAGGATCAGTTAAGATTCTATCTGTATAAAACAATGTACAAATTAAAACACAAACACTTATGTTTACTTTTTGAAATCCATTTATAATACACAAAATGTACAAAATACTTTAAATATCTATACAACTTTCTTGTAAATGTCAATGTGTATATGTATATAGTATTCTAGTTAACAAGGTGATTGTCAAATATGCATCCTCATAAACTAAAGTTATGTGATCAAGTTTTGTTTCATTTGGGTCCTCCTCATAAAAATTCCCCTACTAAACTCTCTTTGTCGTGTTGTTCATAACTCAAGCGCAACATTTAATATGTTATTTCAATGGGTACTTGTATTATTTTCTCTGTACGGATTCTTGTGGGGCATCCACATTCCTAAATCTTTGTTGTTTCTTTTATCAACAGTATGTTTTTCCGAACTTGGTGAGTTACTGGAACGAAAAGTATGTACAGGCTGCGTACGAGTCTTTTTGTTTGGCGGACCTGGCATATATCCAGAGTTCGGCTTAAAAAAAGTTGAAATGAAAGTACATTAGTGAAGTTACTGGTGTCTATAATGTCATAGATTTGATATTACCAGTCTAGCTATCAGATTGCTCATACTTCAGACATGTTTAGGTGTTTCAGACTGCCTGTCTCTGATATAATGTTTTGGAGAGTAGTATGCAAGGCACCCTAGAATGCTTAGGTCACCCTGAGGTATTTGATCTCGGGGGCACCCTGAGGTATTTGATATCGGGTCACCCTGAGGTATTTGGGCTTACGGCACCCCGAGGTATTGAGCGTACGGCACCCTGAGGTATTTGGCTGCGGCACCAGTAGTATGCAGACCACCCTAGGTTGGTTAGGTCACCCTGAGGTATTTGATCTCGGGGCACCCTGGGGTATTTGAGCTTACGGCACCCTGATGTATTTGAGCTTATGGCACCCTGGGGTATTTGGCTGCGGCACCCTAAGGTATTTGATGTCGGGGGTACTTTGAGGTATTTGGCTGCGGTACTTTGGAAGATGCGGGACTTTGATTGCTGCGGGCAGTTCAGGCGATTTACAAATGATCACGTGACAACTACTTAATTTGAATGATTGATAGAGGTCATCGGTTGTACTTGTTCATATGAATATGGGTTTGAATGGTGTGGTGGTTCGCGAAATGTCTTATTTGTTTTCATTAATTAATTATTTTTTTTTTCATTAATTAATTTTTTTTCATTAATTTTTTTTCAATATTTCTTTTTTATAATTATTTGGGATTTTTTTGTTTTAAAAAAATCTATTTTGATTTATTTTAATTTGGTGAAATTATTTACCGATCTGGTGACAGATTTTAATTTGAGTTTTTAATTTCACGACCGAAATAGGGTTCTTAATTAGAGAAATGAAACGAGGTTTAAATATCCAGCACATACTGGCTAATAGATCTAGATTAATACGTTGGAACTTGAATATTCTCAGATTTAACCAATCAAATAATTGTAGTCATTTTAGTATTAAATAATATGTTAATTAGTATATTAATTGTTTTATATTGATTGAGGTTGTTAAAAAAAAATACAAGCTGTATGTCGTTAAGGTATGAGAAATTTTTTTTTTTAAACTAATTGAAGTCATTATCGTATTAATTAATATATTAATAAGTATATTAATTGTTTTATATTAATTTAGGGTAGTTAAACCCCAATGTTGCTTTTTTATTCTAGCATTCGAAATATATTCAAGAAAAATAAAAGTGGTTAGTTCTTTAGAAACAAGGTTAATATTACATTATGTATTTAACAGATGTTTTTCGGGGTCGAAGGAGAACTTTTGACCGATATACTAAAAAAATACTATGGACCTATCTAATTATGTCAATACCCTCTGTATTCTTTCTATGCCAGTTTTTAATTTGAGTTTTTAGTTTCTATGACTAAAATTGGGTTTTATATACCACCAGTGAAACGAGGTTTAACGTCCATACTGGCTAATAGGGACTAGATTGATATACATGCTTTTTTTTCTTTGTTATTATCGGGACTAAAAAAATATATATCCTGGGTGGCAAAAAATTAAAAGGTATTAGAAATGTTTTTAAAAAGTAAACAGATTACTAGATAATTGTAGTCATTATAGTATCAATTAATATGTTAATTAGTATATTAATTGTTTTGATAAATTAAAGTTAGTTAAACCCCAGCGCACTTCACTAGAATGTTGGTTTTTTATTCTAGCATTTGAAATATATTTACGAAAAATAAAAATAGTTAGTTCTTTTAAAACGAAGCCAACATTGCATAATGTACTTAACAGATGTTTTAATAGATGGGTTTTTTCGGGGATCGTAGGTGAACTTTTGACCGATATACAAAAATACCATGGATCTATTTAAATACGTCAATAACATCTGCATCGCTTCTATCATTATATATTTTTCATTAATTTTTTTTTTCATTAAGTATTTATTTTATATATATATACTATTCAAAAAAAGTAGGGGATATTTGATTTTTAAGTGTTATTAAAGTCACCTAATGAAACTGACGAAGAAACAAATGACAAAATGAAATGAAGTTCACATTCATCGATTTATTCCAAATGATCGTTAGACTAAGTAAGGCACAGACTGACCATTATAAGGGTAAAATGATACCCGGGGTCAAACAGCAAAGTTACCACAGCATCACAACCAAGTCAGTAACGGGTAAATCCTCCTCTGTTTGCCAAACAAGCATTGATCCGACGTGGCATACTCCTAATGAGACGTCTAAGGTCATTTTGGTCCAGATTGTCCCATTCCTGTTGCAACGCAGCAGCAAGTTCTTGGACATTGGCAGGACGTTGTTGACGTTGACGTAACCTCTGTCCAAGCATGTCCCAGAAATGCTCGATGGGGGAGAGGTCGGGACTCAGTGCTGGCCAAGGTAATGTGGTGATGTTCTGTTGTTGGAGGTAACCTGTAACGATCCTGGCCCTGTGACATCTTGCGTTGTCATCCTGGAAGATGAAACAGCGGCCATGACGTCGTGCGAACGGCACAACATGGACTGCCAAGATGTTGTCCCGGTAGTACTGGCCTGTAACACGCCCTGCAACAACATGTAAAGCCGTTCTTCCAGCAACAGTGATGCCTCCCCACACCATAACAGAACCACCCCCAAATCGATCATGTCTGATGACGTTAACGTTTGGAAGCGCTCGTTTCGACGACGTCACACCCTCCTACGTCTGTCCAAAAAATCAACAGTGAACCTTGACTCATCTGAAAACATCACATTGCTCCAGCGTCGATTACCCCAGTGTTGACGATCCCTACACCAACGACGTCTTGCCTGAATGTGATGATCTCTCAAACAAGGGATCACGCGAGGACGTCGGGCGCGAAGGTGACCCCTATGCAGTCGATTCCGAATCGTCTGGCCACTCACTCTCACACCAGTGTCTGTTTGAAGACGAGCGCTGATCTGATTTGCTGTGATGACACGATTTCTCAAGGCCAAGGTACGGATAAATCGATCCTGGGCTTGAGTTGTCGCCCTTGGTCGACCTGAGCGTGGTCTGTCCTGTACAGATTGTGTATCACGGTATCTGGACCATAGCCTGCTTATGACAGACTGAGAAACATTCATCGTCCGCGCCACAACCGCCTGTGTTGTGCCGATCTGTAGCATGCCAAGGGCACGTAACCTTTCATTTTGGGTAAGCCGACGCATATCAAAATTTGTTTTCTGGTCACTAAAACAATTAAACTGATGTTTCCACCCTGGAATTCAATGCCACAATGACTGTAACATTCAAAGTCAGAGTCGTGCAAATCTTGGGTTGGACCCCCATGATGATCCCAAGCATCACCTGCATTCCATGCGGTAGCTATTGGGCGTCACATGTAACTGGAAATGTTTCTTCTGTTAGGTTCTATAGTGACTTTTTTCGTAGTCATTTGCATATTTTAGTATTATGCCCCCAAAATCAAATATCCCCTACTTTTTTTGAATAGTATATATACTTTTTTAAAAAATATATTTTGATTTATTTTAATTTGGTAAAATCATTTACCGATTATTTGTTGGAAATTTGATGGAAAGTTTGCTTCTGTAATCAACTGTTTGAATTTGGAACAATATTTTATCTTATGAAAGTTTTATATTTAATGAAAGGTTTTGATAAAATGTGGTGGTATGATGAATCTGTTTCAATATTTGAATTATGAAAACAGTATGACCAATATGTTCTTTATATAAATGGGTTTTATTTTCGTAACACAGTATTTTAGATATGATTTATATATTATAGCGGTGGTCACTGTTATCTTGTACGGATGACATGTTTTAGCTATCAAATTGCAGCACACGTGTTTATAACCATTCCATTTAATTTAATATCTGTGAGAACTAAAGAAAATGTCTTCTGCGAAGGAAATTTGGGGACTATTAGTTGTGAAATATGTTTTAATCATTAAATTAAAGTCAAGCCTCTTTGAAGTCAAATGATATTCTTGAGAACCAAAGAATATGTCTTTGGTGTAGGAAGGTTTGGTATGTGTTTTATAACCAGTTTCTTAGCTGTGTCAGATGGTTTAGCTATCAAATTACAAGGAAACAACACTTGGGTGTCATTAGACATTCTTGAGAACCAACGAATATGTCTTTGGCGTGGGTAAGCTTGGAATGTGTTTTATAACCAGTGTCTTAGCTGTGTCAGACGGTTTAGCTATCAAATTACAGGGCAACACCACTTTGGGATTATCTGATATTCTTGAGAATTGAAGAATTTGTCTTTTGCGTGAGAAAGTTTGACAGGCGTTTATATTACCTGTACCTTCGCTGTGCCAGATGTTTTAAAAGTTTTTGCTTTATTTTGTGACAATCAATGATTTATTTCGCCAAGTATCAAAATATTTATTTTATTTTGGGAGATGAAATCAAAATATTTTGGACAAAGAAAATTTGATTTTGTTAAAGTAAATCCAACTTAATGAATGATGACACCCACACACACAACCCTCCCAGCACACACATACCCACACACCCACACACACACACAGACAAAAACAAACACACTGCTACACCAACGCACAAATGCTGGCACATCATTTTTATCGTCAAATATAGAGAAATATATCGACGTTTTACAGTCAAATACATTTCCACAAATACATATAAATTTACGGGACGGCACAATGTATGCTGCACCAAACATGTAAAACTTATTTAGAGTGTCTACCGGTGGTATATTCATGTTATAAGGGAGCGAGAATCTTTACCAACTGACCCCAACACAACACATGGCACGAATCATATCGTTTGATATTACCCGTCACAAAATTTACACATGTGTCACTGCTTTGAAATATCTAACCAATCATAGACATGTACCCTGCACGGATTATACGAATTACATGTTATCTTTACATGTATACATTTTCTGTAATTTTGAAATATGTAACCAATCATACATTTTCCTCGCAAATATGGATATATTAACTCAATCAATAAAATCTACAAATTAGTTCAAGTCGACAATTAGTATAAT